ATCTTCGGAAGGCTTCAAAGCATAATAACCAATTTTTCATTTAACCAATTTTAATATTAATTGAAGTCTAAAATTTTGCTATTTATAGAAAAGCGTGCTAAAAAATGTACAAAAATGGGAAGACATATTTTCTTAACGCTTCCTTTTGATTTTTTTTTGGGTTTTAGGCAGACCTACAAAAAAGTTAATATTAAGAAGTGGTTAAATAAACAATTGGTTAATATTCTTGGAAGTCTTCTGAAGGTAAACAGAGTTTAACATTTACACGACAAACTGGTTTTCCTTATTTAAAAATTATGGGAAACTTTGAGCGCCTTTGAGATACCCCTAATATTTTTTATAAAAAAAAACAGGCAGTTTGCGTGCATACATTTGTATGACTTGAACGAATCGAGGCTGCTGGATCTTCACTCGCTGAAATCTGCCTATGCCTATTGTATTTTTGTAAATAAATCCCTTTAAGCTGATCTATCCACCGTCTCTGATAGATCCTTCGCAGGCTATTTTTTCTCAAATAGTCCAAAGGGCGCTTCACTGCTACTGCCCAAGTGGAGTTAATCGGAGCAGATATAATGAAAGTTTAATACAAAAGTGATATTTTTGTCACGAAAGGACTACTCAGTTAAAAGTAAAAAATTAATGGAGTTTTTGCTAGTTCCCAAATAAAACAATATCCTACTACGAGTTCTATGTACATTGTACACTGGCGGTCACTATTTTTAATGAAATAAAATTTCGTACATTTATAGAAAAAAAAACAATTCTTTTAAATATAGTTCACACTATAATAAAAACCATGTAAATAAAAATTTCACCTTTGAAAAAATTTGGAAAATTTCATAAAAATTTCCAACTTGTAATCAAAAAAATGTTTGAAAAAGTTTGGCATTTTTCAGGACATTTTATTTTAGTATAAAATGAAGTGCAAGTTTGAAGTAGCTCGCTCAAAAAAAGCTTGATTAAAAAGTTTAAAATTTTGACGAATATTTGATGTTTTTTTTTAGATTTCAAAAAAGGCAAATTGCCGATGTTGCTTGCTTACGCCAGAAACTATAACCCTATAGGAAATGGCATCCCTAGTTTTAACAAATTATGCCTAGCCACCAAAAATTGCACAGCACTTCAACTAATTGGATCTGTTGTTATACATACATATGTATGTATGTACTGTACGAGCACACATACTCATATAAATTTGCATTGTAGGTTTTATGACTAAATTGTAACTACACTAATGAGACTACTTTCCGCAGTGGAATGGTATTGCATGCAATGCAAAACTTTTTCAATAACAGTTTTCAAACTGCCAAACTGCAATTTTCGAAAGTAATTTACGAAAAAACTTTTCATCAGCAATAAGCAGCGAAGCAAATCGACGAAACAAATGAATGATTCAACTTAATGCAGTTTTTGTAATGATTGCATTTGTTGTGGGTACATAAATACATAAATACATACATGTATATGTGTATGTGCAGCATATCCAAATATACATATGTATGTATGTATGTATATATGAACATTTCCCCACTCGCATGTGAAGCGTGGGGCCATTGATGTTTCACAAAAATTCCCTTTATTAGATTAACGCACCAACTTTGACCATATTTCGCTGGAGCATTTAAAAAGTCCAATGTAGAAAAAGGTAGAACGAAAGATGCTTAAAGATTTACGAGCGCATGAAATTTAATGTTAATTAGAGGAAAGGCAACAGACACTGAGAAGTGTGTAAATGAGCAGTTAAAACTTTTTGAATGGCATTGAAGAAATAAAAGGAATTGTCGAGGCACCTGTAGAATATGTAAATTAAAAGAAAGGAGAAAAACTGTCAATCGTTGGTAATAATTCTTAATGAAAAACTTTTGTAATTGAATGGAAGAAAACAAACAAAATTGGTTTGATGGCATTGTGTGACAATGTGTGGGTTAAAATAAATTTAAATAGTGCATAAAGGTAAACATTACACACATATAAGTACATATGTATAGGTAAGTGGGTAGAGTATGTAGAGCGTACCCGATTACTTTATTATCGAAGAAAAATAGTGGCGTAATGTCAACTTTTAAATTCCCAACAAAACATAATCCTAAAAACTTTTAGAAATACAGATAAGTAACAATTCTGACAGGACGTTATACAGATATAACAATCCCGACCGGATAAAACAAGCATAAGACATTATCCAGCCACGGCACAATCACAATAACTCTGAATTCCCACAAAATACAACCCAGAAAAAAAATTAAATTTTTTTAACCATCGGCGAAGTAGTTGGACTGATAAGGATTATTTTAAAAATTATAAAAACTCGCGCGATTTTCATTTTATTTATTTTTATAGTTTGTCGGGAGTTTTCGTCCAGATTTTGATTAGGTCTGGTCGGGATTTGGTCGGCTAAGATCTAATATCTCGGGTACACGAAGAGATAGCGAAATAATTGTAACTGCATTTTAAATGCTTTGAAATGCAGAATTAAAAAAGTGTTTCGCGGGAAAAGGAAATTGTCTTGACCTTTAAAATTACCGTGAAATATAAAGGTTTAAATTTGTACCTTTTTGACCTGAAACCATTACGCAATCCACTTTTCAAAAGGTTTAAATACATTTTATTGCTATTGTTCTGTCAAGGAATCCATTTACATGTTCGCAAGAATCGATAAACGCACTTTAATTTTTTTTTCAAGTTCATTGCAAGCTTTTTTATGTCGCAAAAAGCCAAAAAATTAAAAATTTTGCATTTGACGATAGTTTTAAAGGCCTGATTGAATGAAAAATCGACCTTCAACAGTAAAATTTTTTGATTTTTTTTTTACCTGATGCACAAAACAGCAAAAATGTATGTTTAAATCTTTGGATTACAGGTCAAAACATTCTTTTTATTTTTAAATGCCATTTTAAAGATCACAGGATTATTTTTCCTGAGCTCTCCATAGAATATAGTGCGTTACTTTCAAGAACTAGTAAAAATATATTACCAATTTTTCCATATATTCCAACGTTCATAACTAATTCAGCTTCATATGCGAAGTATCCACTCAGATCAGCTTTGTACTTCCTCACAAATTCAACTTTTTTGCTTCTTCCACGTTTCGCAAACAAATTGTGCCTTCGTGTTGAACATGCTTTCAAATAAATGTCAGTTGATAAATACATCTGTACATTTAACGCCGTGTCAACGGAGGTATGAAACTGAAATTTAGAAATTAATATAACAGCTGCTTAACATCATGTTAAAGCAATTAAAAATGTTAATTATATTTTATAAATCAAAAGAGACAAATCAAATGACCAACAAACCGAAACCGTAGCCGAAATAAATGAAACAATTCAAAGTGAATTTGAAGTAAAAAAAAAACAAAAACAAAAACAAAAACAGTTAACAGTCGCCAGGGCAGATGTTGCTGCCCACAACAGCGCCACCGTCATGGCTGTCCTTTCAGCAGACTGTGTGCGGTGCGACCAATAATTTTACATGCGGCTATAAATTTATGGCATTTCCAATGAAATAAATTCACCAAGCACACACACACACACACACATACATTTACATAAGTAGCCGTGTAATGGACGCTTTGTTGCGTAGAGCGTGAGAGCCGTGATGACCGCCGTTTTGTTTGGACAAAAATGGCTAAAAAAATGTGAAAAATATGCAAAATGCTGGCCATGTCAACATTTTCCTAAATTTTGAAAACAAAAAAAGTGACTTTTTTCGGCTACGTTCATACAAATCTGTTTCATTTTAGGCACAATGAAGAACGAAAAATAAAAGCTTGTAATAATTAGCAGCAGCGCGCAAATGCCATACCATAAACAATGGCGGATCTGCGTTGGCAGCAGGTTTTCGTTTAGTTGTTTTTGTTTTTCGTACGAGCATTCGCTGTATTGGCGCGCTGCTCTCTGTAACAATTTGTTGAATTATAAATTTTAATTTCTAATTTATTTATAAATATTTCTTACTTGTTGTTGTTTTTGCTTCTGCTCTTGTCATCAACAAAATGGCATACGTAATTTATTGTATTTTAATGCATTATTTTTTTTTTTTTGTGAATCGAAATTTTATTCAACCTGTTATTTTGTCATTTCATAAAAACTGTGGGAAAATATTTTTGCAAACGTTAGCGATTACGCAAGTGATTGTTTTATTTATTTTTTAATTTTTATTATATTACGACAATAAGGTGGAGAGGTGGGGGGAGAGGCGGTTAACTGGTTTTCTACATTTGTTTTTTTTTATGTATTTGCGTTTAAGTGCGTATGGGGCTGGCTGCGTATTTGTTGCTTTATTCGCATAAAATACAGCATTCGCAACGCGCTGTTCTGTTAATGGGCCATTGCCTATAAATGGCGCTAATAGCGTTGTTCGTTGTTTTTATGTGGTGCCTCCGGTATGTGTTCGTCGTGTGTGTGTGTGTGTGTGTGTGTGTGTCGTATTGATTTGTTTGCTATCTCCATTACAAGTCACATCTCTATTACTCGTTTAAGCGCGCGACTTTTACATTTTACATCGTTGTAATTGATTAATTCCCCAACACCAAACGTACTTATTAAGCAAACGATCGATGTTTTAATACATTTGTTGCCATTTGCGAATCGAAATGTATTTACAGGCATACAAGTAAGTACATACGTGTTTTATTTAAACATGCTTAGTACATATATATGCCCATACATACATATCTAAATATGTATTTAAGTATGTTCGAATATTGAGGTGATTTGTAGGTACATTTACGAGGCTAGCATACAAATAGTTGTAAAGAAGAAACCTATGTGGCCGTGAAGCAATCTTGAGCACTAAAACAATTCTAAGGGGTCTAAGAATTATACTACTTTTTTACAAAATGTTTTCGTTTAGGCTAATTTACAAGATTTTGTTTTATATTACGTGGAAAAGCTTCATATATTATTACTGAAATACTTATACATATGGACGCATTTTATTAAAAAAAAAACTTACTTGATGTTTAGTAAAAAATACTTCATTATTTTTTCTATCTACAGAGCAATCCATATGCATTGAAAGATTCAGCTGGTGGCGCAGAAATGACTGCTTGGACGTCAGCTGGGCTACAGCCAACTACTGGATATTACTCATACGACCCGATGTCCGCTTATGGGTGAGTACTAGTTTGTTTTCATTATGTCATTCATAGTTTGGCCATAAAATTTTGTGAACACAAATATATTGTTTCAAATTTCTTCACGGCAAGCTTTGCCGAGATCGTTAAAATTGTATTTTTCTCTAAAAAGAATACCGGTACTAGATTTAGGATGGCTTGTTTGACTGAGGACATTTTAATAGATAGATATTCCATTTGTTTTGTAATGTAAGCATAGGCTTTCATTTATTTTACACATAATTAAAGTGGTGTCATCAAATTACTAAAATGAAACCTATTCCGGTCGTTAAATAGCGGGGAAGTGTTTTCATCCAGCGAAGAATGAATAAACCAAAGACAAGGTAGTGTTATCTTATCCATTGAGTTGGACCATAAATAAAACTTTGGAGGATTGGTTTGTTGAAAGGTATGCAGGTTTCTGGATTCTCTTTTTGGAGTGGTCTAAGGGATGCGTGAACTTGGTGTTTATATAGTCTGCAGTACAGGGACTCAACGTTAATTCAAGCAAGCCGGCGTTTGTTATATTCTTTGGGATGGCAGCCCCCCTCTGTCGTGGAAGCTTAAATTCGAAAAAAGATTTATGGAGGTACCAGATAATTTAATCGGTAATGCAAGATCTGTAGGTAAGTCACACATTGGCCGGTTGGTTTGTTGCGATACCAAATAGAATTCGGTCTTTATAAATTGAAGTAGACATCACTTGGAATATAAAGCTTTTAGCAAATTTTAGAAGTGCTTTCAACTTAGCCTTAGAGCTGTATACTATTTTCTTGAATTACTTAGTTCGAGTACTTTAACTCGGGATTCCCTTGGGAGTTTACTATCGGCAACCACGAGAACTGTGACATTTCACTCCCTCGCGGAGTGTCTCTTCAAGTTTGTTTATTTTATTCGATACCACTGTCTTTCAATAGCTTAAACGGCTTTTACCCCATATTAAGATATCAGATTACACACATATTATTTTGAAGCTATTTAAAGTAGTTTCTACTTCTTACTAGAAGAAATTGATCGGAGTGTTCCGAGGCTGGCTCTAAATGGATTCTTCTCCACACACATCCCTGCAAGGGGCGGGTGGGAGAATCAACATCGTAATAGACGGATCGAAGCTGAAGCTGGACAGGATAATTGAAGGAGCTGTTTACTGTCAGGAACTTTCAATAAAGGCACCCTCGATGCCATATCCACGGACAGGGAGGGCATTGGAGTTTCTTTAGTAACCTACGGCCTTCTCCTGGACAGATTATGGGCAAATCTCTGCTCAACGAGCGCTGGGCAAAAACCCCGAAATGCAAAGTTGCAAAGTCTTTCTGGCCGGTTGTTGACCGCAGGCTGTCAAGGGAGCTGCTGCGGCTGGCTTAGCGCTAACTTTCGATTCTTAGAGGTGTACTGAACGGACATTATCCTTTAGGAACCCTCGCGGTGTGATTTAATATCGTCGCGTGTCTCTATTGCCGCATTTGTTGGGAAGACAAAGTGGAATCATCACAGCACTTCAGAGGAGCTCTCCGGTGTGGACATCAGCAGCTTGCGGACCTTTGTTTTGAGCATCCAGCGCTTCTCATAGCTTCGCACAGAAAACCTGTTGTTACTCTTCAATGAATTAGTACAATTCCGTAACACAATGGGCAATCTAATTAATGTCTGACCCCGTGGGGTCTGCCACAATAACCCAACCTAACATAAGAACTTTTTTCCTGCATGTGTGAGACCTTAGATATGCCTATAATGTTCTCTAAAGTCTTTGTCTGGTGTTGTCTGTTAGGATTGCCAAGGTGAGCAGTAAGCATTTCGAACTGCTCCTACTCAGCGCTTAGCACCAGTGGTTGATTAGCTCACTTAGTTTGGGTGGTACTCTTAATTCTGGAATGCTTCGACTTCCACCCTCCAAAAATACATTACTGCATATTTGACTAAAGGACAAGCGCGTGGTAGCCAACAGCCAGAAGAAAGTATCAGCGAACTTTCACACAGCCGGGTCCAGTTCTGACGAAAGATTCAGTGGAAGTTTTTTCTGTCGGTAACTCAACTCTAAGCTCAAATTTAAGCTTCTTGACCATTTCAGCGTTTTTCAGGTTGAAATAAAAGGAATTAAGGGAATTGAGAAAAAAAAAGCTTGTATGAGTTATTAAGAATTTTTTTGTTAAGGTGGTCAATGTTTGCTATTATATGTGGATTATGACATTACATAATAGCATGTGACTAATTCATTGACTCTGTCGCATGGATCCGGCTGACCGGATTAAGTTCGCTTTATAGACCGGCATCGACTTCTGGCCTCGGCTTACCCTAGATAGAGGCTTCTTCTTTATTGGCGCAGTAACCATCTAGGTGATTTTGGCCGATTCCAAAACAGCACGCCTGCTATTTTTCTTCTGTGCCAACTGATAGAGTGCTTATATAGAGGCTAGCGGGGTCAAATCGCAAGGACATGGTGACCAATTCATGTCACCTGCGCGAGAAGGTGTATTGCTTATGCAAGGATGGCCATCTTGATGCCTGCCGTGTAAAACGTAGCGCTGTGCTGCTTGTTTCCCACGTTCATATCGTTAAACTTGGGGCGCCATCGTTCTGCAGCGCTCGTCGTTAACAGTGACGGTCTCACCAATCTGCTTTTCGAAAATTTATGGACCAATGGGCGGCCCAAGCTGCGCTAAAAATTTGGCACGGGAGCCCTGAACTCAATTTTGGTCACGCTGAAAATTTCCTAATTGGACATACAAACATTGATGGATGCCAGGCCACTTGCAAGGGACTATATGATGAATGCGTTGGCCTTGAAGGATAGCTTTGGGTTGATCTCACCGAGAAAATATTGAGCGGGAATGCCTTTGACTATCAGCGCTATACTTTTATAACGATTGACCTCAAGTCGACGTTACTAGCGCAGGGAGAATGCCGGCGTAGAACGAAGGTGAAGGAAGCTACTTGGGCTCACAAAGCCGCTTCTGCCATTATTGCTTTTACAGGGCATTGCCACATGGAAATTGACTCGGCGAGATTTAATAACACAAAAGATTTGCACTGTCGCAGATATATAAAAATACGATGAACCAGCTGACAGCGCTGTTACCCGTTAGCTTAGAAGCTACCTTTCGAGCCTGAATCTTTGCAAATTAATACCCTCAAAAACTAATAACTTAAATGAAAATTTAAGATACCCTTAGCCCTGTAATCTTATCGTAATCCATCACTTAAAATTTACATTTGACCCAATAAAATCAAAAATAAACACTTCAACTGTAAATTGATTTAAACAAGCGAATAAATCACTCCAAATCGTGCACAATAAATGCGAAAATTATAATAAATTAAGCACAATTAACTGCAAATTGCCAACCAAAAATAACTGACCAGAAAAGTATGGCCCTGCGCGGTCATTAGCGTACAATAGCGGTAAGGGGGCGGGGGACGCTGATTACTGAAAAAGAGTTGGTTTGCGATGTGTTTTTTTGGAGTCGAGGCACCAAAGCCAAGCTGCCCATAATTAATTGCAAAAGATTTGCGTAGCACTTAAAATTGATTTGAATTTAATTGTCGTTATGCAGCGCGGCGCCACAATTGCCGGCCGGAGAGCAGCAGCGGTGGCAAATGGATGACATAGAATGCCGCACAAACAGGAATAAAATTTAAATACAATTTCTCAATTGAGGTACAATTTGTTGTTTGTGCTGGTTGGCTGTGGCTGGCTGGCCTTTGAGCATTTGTTTATGTGCAGTGAGAAATTATTTATTTATGATTGCGGCGGAAATAATCGCACTTAATTGCATACAAAAAACCATAACAAAAACAAATAATACAAGCTATAAACAAATAAACAAAATGCAGTCAACTGGGCCAAACCCAGCCGTCATGGCGGCCGACTAAGGCAATGCATTTGTTGTGGCAAGGAGATCGGAGGAGTGCGCGTTGCACTTTTGCGCTGCCTGGAGCGCCACAAATTCTGCTGGGCGCATGAGTGGCAGGGCGAGGTTCCGATTCGCTGAGCTTGCGTGCAGGAGCAGAAATTTAACTGACACATGGGCCTTTATATGTTCATGCGTGTGTGTGTGTGTGTGTGTGCGCGCATGTACGCCATATTTGCTTCCATATTTTGCGCGATTGCATGACAAGCGCCACAACAACACGAAAAAAAAAACAAACCATTAAATCAACAATTAAGCGCGAGATATTAGAAAAATCTAACGGCCGCGAACCATCAACTGCTGAGGGGCATGGCATGAGGGCGGCGCGCATGATGGTTTTGGTTGGGTGACTACTTTGACATCCAAAACGCGTTGACAAAACGGCAAACGTGGGTTGTTAAGGCGGCCATTTCGCGTGGCGCGCGCCCGATCAGGAGCTGCCTGGCAGGCGCGCAATTACAGCCGCCGCGCGCACTAGCGTGTGGAGCTTTATTTGTTTAGAAATCGTTTCGTATGCAATGTAAATCGTTCGCGCGCAGATAATAATAGCATCGGGTTGTATGTAGTAGGTACAGCTACAGCAATTCAGCAAACCAAAAAAGTCAATAATTATCGTTGCGCGCAACCACCGCTCTTCGTCTGCGCGCGCCCATGCTTACATATGTATGCACATATGGTACGTACATAGAAAAAGTAATTTTTGTTAAAAGCGCAACATTTCAAATCTTGTAAAAAAGCATAAAATTATAGCTTCCACAAATAATTAGAGCGCTCGGCTAAGCGAGCTGTGAGCGAATTGTTGGGAGTGGTGTGGCGTGGAAGGAAGGGGCTGTCCCGCTAGACGCGTTGGGTGCGTGGGGTCTGTTACCAGCATGGAAGGCTGGCAGAATCTCTGTTTTGCTTGTCCTGCCCGCCTGCTAGTTGCTTTAATTGTAGCGCTTGCAGTCGTCGTTATTAGCTGGGCTTTGTTGTTGATGTTGTTGCTACATACAGTTTTACTACATTTTACACACGGCGCGTTTTTGTAGCAGTTGCTGCTGTTATTTTCCTTACAATTATTGTTTTTGTTGGCGCTGTTGTGTGAACAAGAAT